AACGAGATAGTTTCTGCGATTTACGTCCGCCTGGCAAATTTCGCAACGACGGTCGCAACGATCAATTTAAATAGCAAAGAGGCAAGGCAAAGAAGATTCGTCATGTACAACGTGAACGTTCGGATATGGAAGTGGCGGCATTCAGATTTTATCGTCGCGGTTATCCCGGCTATTGCGCTCGTAAAGTTCGAGAATTTAAATCTCATTTTTCGCGTACCTAGCGTGACAGGTGATCTGTAAAGGTACAGTTGCGGACTATTTAGGACGCGACAAATAGTCGGCGAAATGGAAACTTAGCGTTTATTCGTTGCCTCTGAAATATGACCGTTATTAACGACATCTCTTAATTGCGGAAATATATAATTCTCGAATTAAATCTCGTAATTATAAGATATTTCATAAAAAGTCAAAATAAAAAAAGAAAAAAATAATCGATAAAAAGGAAATTATTAAGTGTCATTAACAACACTTTTGATTGCGGAAATTTACAATTCTCTTAATTATCAATTAAATCTCATAATTACAAGAGTATTGTAGAATATCTTATTAAGATATTTCGTGAAAAGGTAAAATAGAAAAAAAGAAAAATAATAAGACGATTTTAAAAATTAATCTGCACTTATGCGAATTGTGTCTTGATATCAAGTCAATTGTGTCTTGATATCATGTAAGTCGATATTCATTTATAGATACTTTGCAATTGTTAGTGCGTGCTAGATTAAACCGCTCGCTATCCGCCAATATTCTTTAATGAAACTTAATTGCCGTGCGCCGTGTTGTGAAACGTGTTGCGAAATCGCGACTGTAATTCGAATAAAGAACAGCCACAAAGTCGTAATCGAACGAGCCTCATAAACGTTCGCAAAGTGCGCTTACCGCTTTTAACCATTCTCGACGGCTTGATTAACGTTAGAAAAATGATGAGAGTACGGAGAATAATCGAAGCGAGAGAAACACAAGTCGCTTCGCCTTCGGCACTGATTAATCGCTTTCAAATCGTTTTTGAAATTTCCTTCTTCTCTCAGAACAGTTTCCTTCGCCTTCCATGTACAATGTACGGAGGGAAGAAAAGCATCTCATATAACACAGAGGTTTGAGAACATTATTGCAACGTTACAATGGTTGCGTTCAGAGAAAGCAGTTAATGTAATCGTTGTAAAATTTTTTAATATGATTGGTCTTGCTCTTAGTTTCTATCTCACTGAATCTAAATGTATAACTAATCATGTTAAAGAATTTTACAACAGTTGCTTTCTCTGCTGAACACATATTACTACAATATTGCTGAAACGTTGCAATGTTGCTGGAATAATTTGTGCTGTATGGAATACGAGGTGATTTTTAGCGAATTTGAATGGATATATTCAATGCGCACTGGCGCATATTAAAGCCGTTGTATACTAATTTTTATATAAAAGTAAAATGAAAACATTTTAAATTATAAAATACAGATTTTACTTAACAGTACATTAAAATCTATTGAGCATTTTATAGTTTAATCCTTTTTTTAAGTCATCGTACACAAAGTCGTCGTAAAAATGTAAATTTAATATAAAATTTTAATATAAAAACGGATTAAACCACAAAATCCTCTATACATTTTATTGTGCTGTTAAGTAAAATCTGTATTTAATTCGAAATATTTTCATTTTACTTTTACACAGATTAAATCAACAACTGTAACTTTAATATTCACTAGTGCACACTAATGCGTCCAATCGAATTCGTTATTTGATTCGGGCGCGAGCGAAAAAATGCGATTACGTAAAGGGCCAATTAACTCTTGAGCGACCGCTCGTTTTCGTGTCCGCTGCGAGACACAATCGTGATCGATTTATCAAAGCGGCCTCGCGATGACTCGCGCGTTTTCAGATAGGAGATCATTTCCTGCGCGGCGAACGGAAGGAGAAAAGGCGCGGTGCTCTAGTTGCGGGTTTTTTTTTATTTTTCAGTGAGCGGTACGTAACACTTTTATTTTAACAAAACGCAGTCGACATTCGCGGACAAGCGCCGAATAATGATCGTCAATTATCACTTTACGCGTCATACGGCCGACTATACTATTTCTCTTTACCGTTGTGTAATTCTTCCTTTTTATCAGGATTTCGTAATGTCCAAGGCACAAGGAAAGAAAGAATGATGCCGTTTTGCTTTTTCAAAAAGGATTATAAATACAATATTCCATAAATAGGAAATAAGGAACCTAAACAGTCAAGCTGGATTTTTATTGTATTACTTATAATTCAATGTGAATTTATACACAATGTATCTCCAATCTTATAAACTACGCGCGTCAAATTTAATCATTATTAAGATTCTTTCTAATTGTAAGCATCAATTGTGAGCATCAATATTATTAAATTGCTTGTCAATTTAATTTGTAATATTATTGCTCTAGTTCTGTTAGAATTACGTTTCGAGATTAAAAATTAAATTCGGCGCGCAATTTGCAGGATTGGATGTGAGTGTATAAATTTACACCGAGTTATTTAAGCACTAAAGATTTCAGCTTTATTGTTTAAAGCCTTTATTTTCTGTTTGCTATGTATTTACAGTACAGTATTAAAAGATACTTTATTTATTATTGTGAAATAATATTGATCTAACAGGTAGCGTGAAAGTCTTGAATTATTTCAGATCTCGAGAGATATTTTTCGCGGTACGGGGATTGTTTAAAAATAAAAGCCGGAATCAGACTAACAATAGGCATTAAAGATTAAAGATTGAAATTTCACCAATGAGGACAAAGAAGTTTTGGCTTTTTTTGTTCTGATTGGTCAAACTTCAATCTTTCAATCTTTCAATCTCATTCTTCAATGCGTAGTTTGGGCTTATGCCCGTTCTACCCGTTTCTACCACAGATTGATAGATTAACTTTATTCTCAGTTTATATAACTTGATCTTCATCCTTTTTTTAAATTTCTTTGAATTAGAAAATACTGAAGAGTTAATTAGAACCGAGATTAAAATTAAAGTAAATTGGTAGAAAGAGGCTTTAGACAATATTCTACACTGAAAAAAATATAGTCAATTTTAATAAATATTTAGTTGAATACTGCCAACTAAATATTTATTAAATATAAAGATATATTTATTTGATACAAAAAATGTTGATTTGATTTAACAATAATTTTTTTTTACTGAACAAATATTTACTTACTGTAAGTAAATGTTTAACTGGCAGTATTGAACTAAATATTTATTAAAATTAACTATATTTTTTTCTCAGTGTAGAGGCGAATATTCCTCCGGGCCTTGACCACACACTCTCACTTTCGTTCTGATGTGAATTTAATTGCACTCCTCCGCCTTCCTCACCCGAGCCGATCGACGATCGGAGAACGATAACGCGGCCCGCGAGTATTTACGTAAGAACATCAAGTGCCCGTAAGTATGGCGTGGGAGTCGACCAGTTCGCATGCAACCGGCAGCGTTTCCTCGACTTTCTAAGTTCCGATACCTCGTTGACCATCACCGTTGTCTGCTGTGCGTGACTTAACGTGGCGATATGATCGAAGAGAATTTTTACTGAGTTTTCCAATAATCTCGAATCCATCTCGAATCGGTCACTTTCTAGGAATCCTCGTGTCGCGAAAAATATCTTTGAACATTTAAAACGACATTTATTCTTTACAATCTGAATGCAAACCGATATCTCGACTTTCAATCATACATTGATCCCATTGCTGTCCGCGCACGATTACGAATACTAATTAATAGTGAAACTGTCCAACACACATCACCGATTTCGCCTTCTTATAACTTAATTCCTTTAATTACAAGCAGATTCCTTTATTTTGTAGATGTAATGTATCGTGATATATTGCGACGTCATAAATTTTACATCGGGAGCAGAACAATATAAAGATTAATTAAAAACTTAAAAGCCGGTATAATATCCAATACGTCAGTATTCTCTCAGTAAGAAATTTAATAATTACTTTCATAATAAATATTTATAATGGATTATTATAATTATAATTGTAGTGATATC